GAAATGATAAATTTTTGTGTAATGGGTAGATCTATTTGTAGCTTATCATTTCTCTAGGTGAATACTTTGTTTTGTATTATGTGAAATTTATATAACAGTTTGAATTGCACTTTATAATATGTATTGTATTATTATTATTATGATTTTTTCCACATCCTATTGTCATCTGACTGTCTTATGGATCCATGGAATGTAAATAAATTATTATTATTATTGTCATGTAAAGAACATGAGATGGCCTAATGCTGAAAGGTAATACTTGCCTTTTGAGTCCTTTATTAACTGGAAATGTAGAGGAAAACTTCAGTAAATATTCTCAACATAAAAGGATATGTCTCTGACCCACTTCACTTGCATTCTTGCTCTTCAGTAGCTGGCAACCACCTAAAATATCTCAGGGATGTTTACTGACATGAACAGAGGAATAAATATGAAGAGAACACAGTTTTGGAGTCAGTTGCTGCCCCATGAGAAATAAAAAAGCTGAGTGTTGTTAATTCTTGGAATACACATGTCTGACAAATTATTTCACATTACCTTAACCATGATTTTTAACTGAAATGTTCAATGTGCATAATTATGACATCCCTTTGACCTTGATACCACATAAGGCCTGTATGAAGTCTACATGTGTTACACTACCATCTACACTGCATTATGTGAGATGCACATAACACCTGCCCTTGGAAAATCTAGCATTCTTTCACCATTCCCATGAGTCAGCAAGATTAAGAACCAACAGTATATAGTATGTCCTGACATACAGGTGATACTTCACCTACATTAATGGACAGTTACTACAAGTCAAAAATATGCAATAGGCATTTTTGCTATTTAGTCACTTTACTCTTTATTTCTGACTTCTAACAAACTACCCTGAATGTAGTTGAATTACACACTATGTCATGGGACTCTCTCCATACAAATGTCACACAAACTCTGCAATGGCCTGTATATCCAGGACTATTCAATTTGACTTGATGCATACAAATTACACACTAAATAACAAGGGAAAAACATTCCCATTATTAAAATAAAAGATGGCCGACTTAAATTATGTTCACTGACAATTTTATGGCATCATCAATGTCTGTCCAGTCCATGGAAAAATTCTGGTTTGCTCTAGTTCTCGACTACAATTGTGTATGGCTTATAATTGCCCCCCCCCCCCCAAACTAAATGCTCTGATCAGCCCACTGAGTAAAGTTCCAGTCGGTCAACACAAACTACATTCATATTTTGTCAATAATCTTTAGTAAGAACCTTCCATGGCAACACAACAATCAGATAAGGGGTTCAGATGTAATTAATAGGATGCAAAAGAATGTCTTCACATGCAAAGGAATTTACAATAATGTGATCTAAACTGACATTCAAAAACTTATATCTCAGGGGTTCTCAAACTTTATCAGACCAAATGCCACATTTCCTTGCCTATATACCTGCAGATTCAATGGTGTTTATTACAAATACTACCAACTTCCTGATGCAGAGGTTAACATATTACTAAATTTTCCTTAAAAATATCACTCCTTAATGAGATACTTGTTACTGCCTTTGCTTGAGTAATCTTTTAACATCAGTTTAATTTCTGTTGTTGTGATATGCATGCGTCCCTTCAGGTGTTAATCAGTTAAGACACAGCCTAGTTCCTTGCTTTGATGTCTTGTTCACAGTAATAGTTACTGTTAAACACTGACAACATTCACAAATTTTGTTTTCTGATATCTGGTTAACTATTTTTCATCATATAAAATTACACAGTATTAAAAAAAATGTGTGTGGGCCACATGTGGCACAGGGTCTGTGGGTTCAGAACCATCTTAATACTACCACAGAGAAACAATTTCCTTACATAATACTGTCTTGTTTACTCAATCGTATCGTAAAAGCTTAGGATGCAAGATACACATAACGAACAAAAACGTATAACGAACAACGTCTTGGAACGGAACTCGTTCGTAAACCGAGAATTGCCTGTAATTTCATTAACATCCTTGAAAATGTTACCACTAATGACACTGCTACAATTTGCACACACAATGGCTGCCACGTGAATTTTTCTATTGATTGAGGCCCCAGATCTCCCTGCCATCTGCATATCGTTCAAAATATTCTAATACTTCATTTTCGGCGTCGGTGGCTTCTTCTACCTCGACGTTATTTTTACAGTATATACCAAGCCCACACGAAAGTTGATAAATAACCTGAGAAAACTAAATGCAACTTACATTCAATGGTTGATAGTTCCCGTTACAGTGTCGGTAGCATATTCCGATCTCCTACTTATTTATATATATATATATGGTTCCTCTCACACTCCACGGTCACTGGGATCCTCCCAATTGTCCGGCAGTGGGGAAGACTGTCCTGGGTCCATTAACAGCATCTCAGGTACAGTTCCATGTCAAAATGGTATTGCTTGCTTATGTTGCAACATCAAGCCAAAAATAAAAAATTAATAAAAAGAAAGTGGCAAGATGTTATTCAACACCAGCAATTTATACCATTCTACTACAATGCTACACCCAAAGAACTCACAGCAATGATTGAGGCACTCCTTCATGACAGCCTTTTGTACGTGGGAGAGCAACACCTCTCTGTTTTCTCTCAACACCTGGCAAAATACATTAACAATTACACGAAAACTCCCCCAAAAACTATCAATCTATCCTACTTCTTCTTAACTGGGAGCAACAGCTAAGCTAATCCACTCACCTCCGTGCATGGGTCCATCTGCACAGCATCCCATATACTAAAACTGATCTGACTCTACCTAGATAATCAACCAGCCTTACTTAGACCCTCTGCCTAGAAGTCCCCACCTCTATTGCCCATGCACAAGCCGTGCCCTGAACACTCTACTTACGAACCGCTACACAGCAGGCAGACGTGCACAGATCATTGGACACCAGAATAGCCAGTACAGCTTTTACCCTTTGTATCCTAGATTTCTACATAAATGGCAGGTCACTGTGAGCTACTGAAGATTCCGTACTCAAGTATCAGGAAGAGGACCGTACCATACAACAAAAATATTGATTTCGTTTCATGAGTCATTACATTTATGTCAGTTCCTTTCCCACTTCAATGCCATTACTCATTTTGTTTAATTACATCACAAAATATTAATTCCTAACTCAAAAAACATAAAGCCCCTCAACATAATCAATACCCCAAAAAATACAAGTAACTCATCTGAAGTCCCTCTTTTATCAGTCTTTTTACGTTGCTCGATAATGCATTGGCAGTGAGGGCTGGTAACCCTACTTCCGGGTTGCGACAGGAGCAGCTGGAGGGCAACCCAATTGTTACTGAAACGGATAACAATTGTCATTAATTAAAGTAGCTATTTGACAGGCTTTGGACAATTTAGTAGTAGTAGTAATATAAAAACACAAGAACAAGAGTGTTAAAGAAAAGAACAAAAATTGAAACAAATAACCGCCATTCGAATTTCTCGGATGTACTTAACAGTGTGACTGGTACACACAAACTCGAGGTGTAGAATATTGCAGAATACAGAAAATCTATAGCATTTTTAAGCTAGAGGCTTCAAATAAAAACTATCAAAAAATAACCCATTTACCTGTATACGAAGTATCATAATAAGCAGTATTTATTTTCACAGATTATATTCATTTTAATTTGTTCTGTTATTTTCTCATCATTCAATTGCACCTCACACCCTATTGGCATATTCATCGCCCTGATGACGGAGGTAGTATGACCTCTGAAACGTTGGTTAACATCGACCAGACTACACAGCGCAACAACCCAGAAGACGGAAATCTTCATACTCACAGCTGTGAAAACCTCATCGCCCTGATGACGGAGGCAGTATGACCTCTGAAACGGCGGTTAACATCGACCACACTACACAGCGCAACAACCCAGAAGACGGAAATCTTCATACTCACAGCTGTGAAAACCTCATCGCCCTGATGACGGAGGCAGTATGACCTCTGAAACGGCGGTTAACATCGACCACACTACACAGCGCAACAACCCAGAAGACGGAAATCTTCATACTCACAGCTGTGAAAACCTCATCGCCCTGATGACGGAGGCAGTATGACCTCTGAAACGGCGGTTAACATCGACCACACTACACAGCGCAACAACCCAGAAGACGGAAATCTTCATACTCACAGCTGTGAAAACCTCATCGCCCTGATGACGGAGGCAGTATGACCTCTGAAACGGCGGTTAACATCGACCACACTACACAGCGCAACAACCCAGAAGACGGAAATCTTCATACTCACAGCTGTGAAAACCTCATCGCCCTGATGACGGAGGCAGTATGACCTCTGAAACGGCGGTTAACATCGACCACACTACACAGCGCAACAACCCAGAAGACGGAAATCTTCATACTCACAGCTGTGAAAACCTCATCGCCCTGATGACGGAGGCAGTATGACCTCAGAAACGTTGGTAAACATCGACCAGACTACACGGCGCAACGACCCAGAAGACGGAAATCTTCATTCAATTGCAATTTAACTCCATACTGCAGATTCAGAATGACAGAAAAGCTTGAGGATACCGTTATATGTTTGTTTTACCAGATCTATCGTTCAAGCCTCATTAATACATTCTTTCTCAAACTTCTTTGTCGGTGATTTTGATTGTAAAACATTTTTAACAACAAATGGTTGTAAAGGCATACCACAGTGTCGACGATTAGACCGGCTATTTGTGTCTGAGTCTGCTCCATCAAAATTGTCAGAGGCAATGAAATTGTTGAACCAAAGGTTTTGCTTCTATTCTATTATGCTTTCACTCTTTTGCTTTGAACCATATATAAACAAAACAAATAATTATGCCCTTTAGCAATAATCTGCTCTTTAGTCAATGACAATTTATTTAAATCAGTGTTCATAGTCTAAATTATTGCTCCAAACGATTGTACGGGTTCACTGTGATAGCTTCTTCGGAGTAAGAAATCAAGTTTAACGCCGATTCAGATCAAGGCATTTCTATTTTGTACTTATTATCTTCAATGTCTTGGACAGCAAACTGAAAGACAGGAAATGCATCTGGCGTGAACCAGAACATTAGCATATGCAGACTCACAAGACAACCACGCGCAACTGTATCTGGTATTAGGACGTGTGGCTTGTTTTGTTTCTTGTTGTCTAGCAACGCACGACATCAAAGTTAATCGATAATGAAATGATTAATGTGAAGAGATAGGGCAGGAAAGGAGACGTTTCATGTTACTAGTGTCCGTGAAATGACGCCAGAGATCCTAGTTATGACGGCTCAGAAACCTGAAGGAATCGTCAGCGACAAGTTTTTCTATATCACGCTTTAAACAAAGCCAAATTACTGCAAAGTGTCTTTCCGACTATTCCGTATCTGAAATTCAAATACAAATAATTGTTTTTCTCCTCTTTTCTTTCCGTCCAACAATTCAGCCCACACAATAACAATGCACGACATTAAATTATTCACGGAGCATGTGACGACTTATCGAACATAGAAACAAAATTTATTACAGGTTTTAACAACTAGAAGTTACATAATAACAAATTCTGCCGCCGGAATATAAAAGAAATAGCGCTGCATGTCATCAGAGATTTATGGTTAAAAGCAGTGAGTACAGCTGACATAACAAACACATGAAATAACCTGTCTCCATTTTCTTCTCTCTTTACGATGGCAATCCTTCAATTGTTCATATCCTGTCCTGTACAAGGGAGACAACTTGAAGAGTTCAAGGTCCATCAGTCGAATTCAGGGATCGGGATTTATTATTACTATCAGTTAAATAAGCTGAGCTTTTATTACACAGTTTCATGGCGTCACATACAGATGAAAATATATTTGAAATTTGGTACCAGAAATGGAATGTACAATGTCGCTGGACACGATTATGATTCAGTTCTGCCCATCTCCCATTCTCATAACCTACCACTCGAGAGTCATCTTAATGTTATCCTGTCATAGTCTTCTTGCTAGGGTTTCATAATCAAAATTGTTACATATTTCCTGTCTACCGCACGCTAGACCAGTGATTCTCAACCTCTTGGTGCCCGCGACACACCAGAATTAGAACAGAGGATTACAATTGTTCACTGTAGCGTTTTCTTGTAACAGATCAGACTATTTTTAAGGGCAGTACTTGTAATAATTATTTTCTTCAACGGAAATTATTTCCACCAAAGGCACTGCATTCAGCAAAACTTGTGTAAGAGTTGAGCGACACAGAACATTGCGTACAGAAATGTAGATATTTGGATGGGGTACCTTCATAGCTATTGTTGTAATATCACCACCAACATCAAGTGTTACTGCCATTGTTACTAATATCAGGTTTCAAGTTTCAAATATATGTTTGTTATGCTGCTTCCAACATCGCCCTCATGATGGAGGCAGCAAGGACCTCTTAAACGTTGGTAAACACTACCAAATGACATGGCGCAATAACTCAGAAGACAGCCATTTTCATTACCAGAATTTATTCATCTCCTAACACCATGAACTTAATTTTTATTTTTTAGTGGACAAGCTCGAATAATTTATTAGGCCTAGGCTCAGTTAAATTTTGACTGTGTTGCTGATTTCGGTTTCGTGCCAATGTTCATATATTTAGTTTCATCCGAAAATATTTCTAGACAAATTTATTTTTCCATCTGTAGTAGAATGTGTATGTGAATACACGGTCTACGACCTGATAGAGTTATCCAGTCACAGTTCTTTCTGAGTCCATTCTATTCTACTGATAGCATAATCTAGCGAAAACTTAAGAAGAAGGGTATATGAAGTATCCCTTGTTTAATCCCAGTTGGAATTAGTAAAGAATAAGTAAATGTTTACTCATACGAACTTTACCAAACATCTCGTAAACAGACATACACAAATATTTCCATTGTGTACCAATTTTTCTGAAAACTTATTATATTTATAGGTAGAGTACCCCATTACTGCAGAATCCACGAGCACCAATACACGAGTGACAAATAATCGTTCCAGAAATCGAACGAACCAAAACCTAACCTAACAACTTCCAAAACTGCGCGGTATAGAGCTTTTCTCTCTTATTTGATAACTTTGAAGTTGTTAAAGAAATTTATTGTTGTTATGGGGAGCTAGGCTTGTCAACTTGATCACAAGAAACCACAATCAGCTAACTCTGGTGGTGGTACAGCGTCGCTAAATAATTTGCTAACCATCTGCTGATTCAAAAAAATCGTCGGACCGGCGTGGTAATTAAGAATGGGGGAGGCTATAGTAATCGCGTGACAGGAGAACAGGTGTGTGATGTGGACACTGACTGATATTAATATTGTCGGTCAGTAACTGCAGTTTAGTGGACTACTACTCCGCGCAGCTAATTGAGAAATGATGACTGATGGTAGCGCTCCGTCTGCATATTATTAATACCTAGTCACAAAACAGATATCGAATGATATATTACGTTTTTGCGTTTATATTCTTTGTGATGCAGCACAATTACTTCCTTTTCAAATGTTTGTGAGTTGCCTGTCAGATTACAGAATGAAACATGATTGCACCAATTCTGCGACTGAAAACAAGAGATTTCTTTTTCGCGATTTATACAATCTTTACATAGTCATATATATATATATATATATATTTGTGTGTGTGTGTATGTTTATGTGCCTGCAAAATTATGACGAAAACTAAATATTGGCTGCACTGGCTGATCAGGACTGGCTGTTTGCTTGAGCACCTGTTCTGTTAACTTACAGTGAAATAAAAAAGAACTACTCGAAAATACTGATTGATTAGACCTACTATTTGACGTTAAAAAAATCAATCGCACATGAGTAAGTTGTTCCAAACAGGCGCAGTAGCTGACAGTCTTACAGCTGGTCAAGAAACGCATCTATTATGAAAAGCGAGCTCGCCACTGGACTTTACCCTTAGCCACCTGAATTCAATCCAGACCGTCACATTCTAATAATTTAAATTTTATTTTAGATTAATTCTTTCATTCAAGTTATCTCTTCCTTTCAGGTTGTCTAACTAAAATCTTTCACCTATTCCCCTGCGTGCTATATGCCTCCCCATCTCTTTTTCTTGGTTTGATTACCAAAATAGTATGAAGTTAAGAGTACAAAGTATGGAGCACCGCTTGTATAAAACCTCAACCTGCTATTTACTCTTTCGTAGGACCAAACATAATCATCACACACACATATCTCAATGTATAACAGAATAGACAGAATTTTTCGGATGACGGAAACTAGGAGTTGTTAATTTATAGCGGGCACCGTATGAATCTTCATAAAAGAATATTCATTTGAAATGATTAGATTACGGCTGTGTTAAGAAAATT